AACACAATAATATATTATATTTCTCATTTTACAAAAAAGTACATTAAGCTTTTCATTTTATAGAATAATTATTTTTAAACTAAAACAAGAACTTTTGACTTGATAGGGGCAATTTAGTCTTTTCCAGTTTTCTATTCAAGGGGGTTATGTGCTAAGTTCATACCATAACGGGGTCATGTGCAAAATTTCAAAACCACAAGGGGGTTATGTGCCTAGTTTCAAACCACAAGGGGGTCATGTGCAAAATGCCCAAACCACAAGGTGATTATGTGCCAAATTTAAAACCACAAGGGGGTCATGTGCAAAATGCCCAAACCACAAGGGGGTTAAGTGCTATTTACCCTACTATTTATATGATTTAACAGAATTATAATGAGTTAAAATAAATAAATATTAGACTGGAGTTACAAATAATTTGATATAACGAGTACTCCTATTTACTACTGCAAAAAAATTCTAACTTGTTATTTTCTTTAATCTACAACTATAGTGAAAAAGAGAAAATTACAGTATACAATATTTCATTGTAATCCTAAAATCTAATTACATTTCAAATCATGAGATGAACTTGAATAATATCAACTATTATATTGGATAGACATTTTTACATATTCATCATATATTGGTGGTATAAATACATAGCTTTTAATCTGGTATATTATAATTATCTAAGTTTGATCTAAGATTAACTACTTAACTTGCACCTTTTAATATATTACATTGTCAGACTCATTTGTATTAGATTCATCTGGATTAAAGTAATTGAAATGAATGGTTGAAAACTAATTTTAAACGAGGAGGATGAATTTGTTGGGAGTAGTTTATCTTTAAATTTTATAAATGAATTTGTTATTATTATTATTATTATTTTGAGATTTTAGCTTGTGAATCTCGTTTGACTAATTTCATATACTAGATAGTATTAGTACTATACTTTATAAACTGCATTCCCTTTTTATGTTTCGCTTATAGTTAGCTCCCTAACTCATGCAAAATGCCTGGAATGCGGGCACTTTATATTATTATTACAACTAAACTTCTTTTCCACTTAAAAAAACAGCAATTATTCATAAAATGTGTTCTGAACGAACGCGTTTTCAATAATATTTATTTCCCTGAAAACATGTTCGGACAACAAAATCGATATTAAAAAACATTGTAAGTCATAACGTTCTAAATTCCTGCGAGAGAAACCAACAGGAGAAAAAACCAGAAGACCAAGGAAGAAGAGAGAGGAGAAGGAAGAGAAGTTTCGATAAACTCATGTTGCAGTTCAGAGATGTTGCATACCGTATTTTGAAGGTTCAATTTCTTGTTCTTAACAAATTGCATTGCTGAAAATTAGTGTTACCTTAAATAAACCCTAACATTATAGTAAAAACTGTTCTTTCGTTGTTGGAGTTTGATAATCTCTGTTTTTTTTTCTCCGAATCACACAATTTAGATGAATTTTGACAGTGGAGTATTGTGTTTCAACAATTTAGTATGTTGTTGGAGACATGTTTGTTCTCACCCATTCAAAATTCATTTCTAGGGGTTGAGTGTTTGCATTTTTTGGCAGAAATAAACACATTTACATAGCACTTTACAGTTTTGCAAGTTGTTCCAATAGTATGATTGTTATTTGGTATTTGTAAGTGTAGATTACAATGCTTTTCTACTTCGGTACTATTGCGTTGTTGTTAGCTAAAATTGTATATGAAAGACGACAACATCATGTTTTTGTTGCTGCAGAAATAGGTCCAAAGAAGGAAAATTCTAAAAATGAATACTCAATACTCGTCATATTGGTTCACAAAAGCAATGCATCCTATTAACTATTAAGTGGAAGACGGGGGCTCTGCAATTTAATGTCCTAAAATCAAATCTGTTTGGGAACTTCCTAAACATGCCCAACAGAGTCATAGTTTTACCAAGGTGCAACGTGTGTTGAAAAAATATTTTCCAGAATCAAACGCGCTCATATTTAGGAAGGATAAAAATAAAGCAGTGGTCTCATTTTACTCGGAGGATTGCACCATGAGGGGCACTCAATTGACATAAATTTCAAGAATGAATCTTCGTCCACCATTAGTCACCTATGCGGTGGACACCTTTCATACACCGAACATAATTTATTTTCTAAAAAGTTGGAGAATTGTACATGAGATAGCGATCGTGTGGATAAATTTTGTAAGTTGTACACACTGTTTGTTTCCTCAAATAAATGTAGTGGTGTGAACGAGTCGAGCTTGCCTGTTTTGGCAGGCTCGAGATCGTCGAGTTTTTTTTTTTTACTCGAACTCGAGCCCAAGCTTATTTTTTTTTATTATTAAAAAATATTTAGATTATAATAAAAAAAATTCAAAATAAACAATAAACTGTAATTATATATATATATATATATATATATATATATATATATATATATTCTTTTTATATTATTATACATTATTTAAATAAAAAATAATATATATAAAAAAATAAAAAATAAAGAAATAAAAAAAATAAGGCTCGCGAGCTCACGAATAAAAACTCGAGATCGAGTTAGAGTTTTCTTTCGAGTCGGCTCATCGAGTTCAGGAGCATCGCATCTCATTTACCACCCCTAAATAGAAGTTTAATTTTACAAATGGATTTCAAAATTTGAAAAAGAAGAATAAAAATGGGAAAATAAAAGTTTTGTTTTTATTAGCGGGCAAATACTATTTTCTGCAAAAAAAATGATACTCTGCTGCAAATGCAATCTCCACGTTGATTTTTCCGTACCTCCAGTACCTCCTCTCACATTCCTTCCTCTCCAATCAAAACACACACTCACACACACAAAAGAGAGAGAGAGAGAGAGAGAAGAAAATCGAATCGAAACAACATGGAGATGGAGGACAACACCGGCGAGTTCGACGGCGGCGCAGAGTGCATAGCTAGCATGGTTGACTCCGGCAGCGTAGAAAGCCGCCGCTACTACATGGCGCGTGGCACTCTCGTCGAAATGCTCCGGGACAGAGGCTACGTGGTGCCCGACGTGGAGGCGGAGCTCCGCCGCTCTCTCCCCGAATTCCGCTCCATTTTCGGCGACAAGCCCGATCCCGAACGCCTCCGCCTCGTGGCCTGCCGTGTCTCTGCTCCTTCTCGAAAGGTATGTGTATATTCCCCTCTTTGCTTCTAGGGTTTCGAAACTACCTGTGTATGAGTGTATCTGTATCTATAGGCAAGATATATATATATATGCGGTATGCATATTTTATTGGTGATAGGGTAAAATGAAAAGGTGTAAAAGGAACTAAAATTAGAAAATTAAGCAGAACAGAATTAAAGATAAAGAACAAACATATCTTCATCAACAAACAGTAATTATTTTCTTTTTTCTTCTTCCGATCCTCGACATCTATGTTTCTTGCCAACGAGGTCCGATTGAAGTCTCTTAATAATGTCTTCTGTTGGAAGTCCCTTTGGTGTTAGATTAGTTTCTATTATTAGGACATGGCATATGAATATCATCGTATAGTTGATATTGTGCTCCAAACGACAACAAAATATAACTTCTACTCGACAAACTTGAGTGCTTATCTCCGCATTTTGAGACCTTTTACTTTGTACCTTTATTGCAATCGAAGGGGAAAAACCAACTCGTTCCTCTTGCAGAATTTCAGGAGGTTTAAAAATGGCTATCTGCCGTGATTTGAATTTGTTATCAATTTTATCTCCATTCTCGAGTTTAATTGGCAATGAAACAGATTCTCAGCTCTTTTACTCTATTGTGACAGTTGTGCTACGACAAATGTGGTACATTGTTCGACAAACCCTTTGTTTCTGTCTTGTTGTTTTACACCGGTTATAAGCTGCATTTTAAGTAATCTAATCTAATAAGATAACAAAAGCTGATGAATTCTCTATACGAGTCTGGCAGTGCTATAATATATAGATATTCCGATTATTATGCCTTTCTTTTGTTTGTTCTAGTAATTCGTAGACTATTTCACTTAAGAAGAATACAGCTGAAGAATCATGGTACGAAATTCAGTGCTTGAGTTATCATTGTAAAAGATATAAAAGTTTGAATTGGGAGAAGATTGTTAGGGTGCCATGCACACGAAGGTGGCTTTGCTGTTGCCATTGTGTTCGAAGCACACAGCTTTTGGTAAAGCAAACGAGTGTGTTAAGACACTGTAATTATTGGACAAACGGAGAAGTATGCATAGGGAAGGCTTTTTATACTTCAGTAGGACTTGTTTATTTATCCTCCTGATAATCTTTGTGAGAATCACTTTAATAATCTCTCTTGAGTCTTGACTATCTTCTCGTTAATCGTCTTTTCTCGTTTCAATTATTTTTTGGCAGATTCTGGCAATATTTTGTGAAACGGTTGAGATCAGGAAGAAAAATATGGTTGGTATACTGAGTCAGATAATGAACAAAGAACAGCTGGACAGAGTGATCTTAGTCCTGCAAAGCAAGATGAATTCTCATGCTCAAAAGGTTTTGGATGAATATCCAATAAAAGTCGAGACTTTTCAGGTTATATCATAACTCTGCTTAATTTACTCATGATCGACAATGTTTTCACATTTGAACACGAAAATCATATACTCATAAATGAGTTGGTTTCATATTGGTAAAATAATCTCGAAGAGGCGCTCTGTTTGTTAATTTTTTTAAAAACTTTAGTCGGCTAAAACATATCGGCACAACATCGTTCATCTTTAGCATTATCATGCAATTAGAAATGCACTACTCTGATCTTTTAATACTAATATGATCGATTGCCCGTTTTCAGATTACCGGTTTGTTGGTCAACATCACAACTCATTTTCTGGGGCCAAAGTTTATGATTCTGACTCCCATGGAGAAGGAAAAACTTTTGAAGAAATACAGCATCAAAGACAAGCAGGTATACACTTTTGTTTTTCAAAATCGGCAGCTTTTCTTTAATGAACATGTGAATAAATTACAAAACAACGAGTGAAATTTTTACGTATGAATTAATCATTAATGAGGAACATGCTTTTCATGTGTGTGTTATGCAGCTTCCTAAGATGTCTGAAAATGACGCAATAGCAAGGTACTATGGGCTTGAGAAAGGGCAGGTCGTAATGGTAATTTATTCCGGTGGTTTAACTGATTCTCTCGTCACTTATCGCTGCATTCAGTGATTCCATCCCAGCTTATACTCACAGCTCAACCAGGAAATATTTCGGGACTCGAAATTGGGCAGAACATAATGCGGTTTTCAAGAAACGAGAAGGAGAAACAAAATTGATAGAACTTTATGTTTTGCATCGTCTAGAGATTTGTTTCGTATCGGTTAATCATTTTGAATTTGCAGAATTGTCTTCCTTGTGTAGGTTTGTGATTACACAAGTCTTGATGGGAATTGCATACTATTTCCTTGACCATGGGACGAAAAAAAAATCTGAATTAGAGAAGAAAATATTCGAATTTAGGAATTTGAAATGATTTCAATATATTGTGAATTCTAAAAACCACGGATCGACCGTTGAGATTTAAAACAACTCAGAGTGAATATCATATAAGACGGTTTGAAATTTTATTTTGAAATAGTATTATTTAAACACGTCCTAGAGTAATCTACAGTTAAACCTCTATAAATTAATACAATTGGAACTGGGGAAATTCTTTTAATTTAACGAATTATTAAATTATCGAGTTAATAATTTAACATGTTTTCATTGAGTCGGGACCGAGAGAAACTATTATTTAATCAAGGTTATTAATTTATCGAGGTTCTACTGTAGTTCGAAAACACAATAAAACCTCGACTCATTAGTATATAAACTGGTGTTTTTCCAAACGTAAAGTGGAAGGATAAAATGTATTAATTTGAAAAATATCTTCCAGGACTTTCAGATATAAAATTTCTCTCTTCAAATTTACTCGTATGATTGATGCATGCATTTTTAAAAGCCAATCCAATACACAAGAGCGTGTATAGCATGGGAAAGTGAGAAAACGAACAAAAACGTAAATGAGAGATTTCATTTGACTCGGCATATATCAGTCTGCTAATCCTCAAGTACTTGAGCTATATGCTATTACGTAGAAGCCATAGGCGTTTGAAAATCTTCATTTCAGCAGCTTTTGATCAGGCCTTTAAGAAACTGATTCTCCTTCTTAAGCTGTTGAAAATTAAAAGAAATATGATGTTTATGTTTAGGTGATAATAAATGTAAATAAACATATACAATGACCCGCAGAAAGAGTCCATGAAAACTAGTTTGATCTCTCGAATATTTGTCAATGAAGAATGAATTAGGATGTGAATTCCTAAGGAGATGCAGAACTAACTATAAGTTTGTCTTCACTTAGAGAGAGAATCAAACAAATTATGATGAAGGTAGTAAATTACTCGAGTTTTTTCTACAAAAAAACAATGGAATTTGTAGGCCTCACCTCGTCAATTGTTGTACTAAGGTCTTGGACAGCCTTTTGGAGGGACAAGATAGTTGTTGATGTAACATCTTGGTAAGCTAGCTCAACTTCTTCCACTGAATTAGGGTCGAAGAAAATCCCTTCCATAATGAATAGTTGCTCGAGTAGTTCAACATCTTCAGGTTTCATTCTTTGGCCCAACTAAATTAATGAGGAAAAAAAATATGCTTAGATATCTATCTCTAGTTGACGAATTCTCGGATCAAGATTTGGAACACAAAGACTACCTTTTCCAATATTCTCTCACAGGACTCGTTTTTGGTCGGAGGCTGGGGTTCAGAACTGCCAGTGTCTTCATCTTCTTTAAGACTAACATGTGGTAATGCCTTTATGTGCTTTGCTCTGCTCAAGGAACAACAATGTTTTTTTTTTTTTGGTTTTCGTATTTCAGTAAATAATTGGAAAAAATGGAGCATGTTTATACAATTTATGGGTGAAAACCGAAAAAGAGCAATAAGCATCAGTTTTTGTTCGTAGCCAGAGATCTCTATCAACTGCTCTATAGTGATGCCAGCTATTAGTTTTGAATGGTAAATTCAACGCTGCCTTTTTTATACAGAATTGTTTTTGTTCAATAGCCTGTTAAACACTAATTAAAATAAATAGTTATTAGAAATGAAAAGCATAGAGAAGATTTTGCCTACCTTGCACCAAACCGAAGAGTTGACAGGCTTTCTGATGCATTTGCAGGACTAGGCGAGCAGCAACAAAGAAAAGCAGTCTGAGAGTTACCTCCCTGAGAGAGAGAGAGAGAGAGAGAGAGAGAGAGAGAGAGAGAGAGAGAGAGAGAGAGAGAGAGAGAGAGAGAGAGAGAGAGAGAGAGAGAGAGAGAGTTAAGTTCATCGACATTTTACATTGAACCATGAAACAGTAAGTTGGGGTTAATGTAAGGAACTAACAAGAGCATCCTGCAGTATACGGGTAAGTTTAGAATCACGATAGGGTATATGATTCAGCTTCCCCTGTGAACTCAGTGCATTTATCACATTCCCAAGTGCTGATAGTGATTTATTGATAGTTTTGGCTTCTTCAAGGACTCGGCCTTCAGCTCCAGTTCTCTCGGCTTTCTCAGATCCGGCTAAGTCAACAAGTATCAACTTTCCATACCTGTCATAGTTTTGGGGGAGTACATGTAAACAAATTCTGTTTACAATTATAATTAAATTTGTGGTAGTAAATTACCTTTTCTCCTTCTTTAGTTCCTGCTGGATCAAGAACATATACAGGCAATGACTTCTACTGCTGGACATATTCATTTCTATATATGTCAAGTATACCAACTTACTTCATAGACGGATGAATGAAATCCAGGATATGAGTAAATTAATGTATATAAGATGAAGGATACGGGTTTCTCCGACAGCCCTGTTTGCTATTCCTCTCTGCATAACGGTTAACTGTGTCGGCAATGGAAAAACAATGACAAAGAATGGTAGGGAATGGAAGGAATCTCATCTTACAGAAAGACTTTGTAATGCCTCTGCAGAATCTGATATGGAAATCTGGAACATGAAAAATGGAGCTTTTTAAAACTACAATATTGAGAATGTCCTAATTACAACAATATGATTATCCAAAATCCTTAACACACCAGCAATGTCCTAAGTACACACTCAACACTCATGACCGCCTCCTGGTTCGCAGCGAGTTAGAACTTCGATTACTGTCGTAATTTGATTGAAATGAATCTTGTTGATAGTAAATACTATACGATGTCATTACTTATTAGCTCATTTTGATCCACTTCCATTAAAAAACATGAAAATGTTTACCCTTTTGAGTACTGAAAACATACTCAAGAGACTCAAAAGTTCCAAGATTCATGCCATTCACACATACTCCATTCAGAAACCTTTTTTTTTTTTTTTTGAGATAACTCCATTCAGAAACCTACCCATCTCATTAAGTGGTTTTGCCGACAGGAAAATGTGCAAGCAATCAAGAAAAAAAATAGCTGCTAATAAGAAATTTTTGATCAAGCTAGACTTATGACCACACCCAGTGGGTGACAACACATACTGCTATTCTCCAAGTCGTGTCACCAGTAACGGGACAAAAAGTTGTGCTGATCTTATGCTAAAAGAGAGGGGATAGGCAGGAGAGAGAAGTACCTCTGTAACACCACTCACAAAGATTCCCTGCACTTTGCTCTCCTTGATCTGCAAATTGTCCTTTGATAAATCAAAAAGGTCCCTGATGAACGAAAAAACCCGTTACTCAGAATGAATTCATTTCCTCAACATGGCAATATCCAACTTCATGATAGAAGATGGAAAGTTGATGAAGCTTTCTCATGTGATGCAAACCTGACTTTCTCCATGTATATTTCTACCTGTAGTACGCATCATAGGGAAAAATGAGTACTTCGTGAGTAATATGACCTAAAGATATGTTGTGCTAGGAGCAGTTGTAATATTTCATACCATTGATAGTTTGACTTTGTACTTGATCCTATCATCTGAAAGTTTAATGGCATTGAAAAGCCCATCCACCACTCTTGGCAGTATACCTTTCTGTTTGTCATCGCAATTTGTAATGCCTGGTCCCTAAAATAAATATACAAATAAATAACAAAAGATAGTAGGTAAAGCACCGAATATAAACATACTGGATTCAGATTACACTGTTAACATATTACCTCCATACTGTAAGTCTTTCCTGCTCCTGTCTGGTAAAAGATATACACAAAGAAAAATTTATAAAATGGGTCAAATAGCATCAAGATATCGACAAGTCTAGTAAAAATGAAGAACAAAAAAGGGACTGCATATAAACTTAACCATATTAACTGACAAGGCAAACACAAATTATCCCGGTTCAATAAATATATTATGACTATTTGAATCTCCAAATTCTGATATAGGCTTAACCACACAACATGGGCAAGTAGTTTGTTCATGGAGAATAAAAGCAGGAACCACAAAGTTTTATAAGGCAGCTCTCAGCAAAAAGAGTATTCCAGAAGAGAACATGGAATGTAAATTCTGAAACTAATAACATGTGTCCCAACAATTAAAACATCTTCCAACTTTACCCAGTAAAACCGTAACTATACTTTTCTGCCGAACAGAGAGATGTAATTCATGTCTTGTTTCTGCTAGAGTACCGATAATACCATGCAATAATTCACCGAAGAATCTTAAAAAGGAAGTCCTCAATTCGAAATGCTGATTCAACGTATCACAAAAGAGAGTGCCTGTGCCGCATAAATTTTACGAGATCAAAACAGGAAATATACCTGTCCATATGTAATGATTGCCCCATTCACTCCATTAACAGCTCCTGTGCCGCATAAATTATATTGAGTAATACTGAAGCAAAATCTAGACCCCACTCCAGAAGAAAAACGAAAACCAAACTAAGAAAGAACTCTTTTAGAGGATTTTGAAATTACCTTTTACAATAGGCAAAGCAAGAAATTCATATATGTCAGCTTGTTCCGATCCTTGAAAGAACACCCTATCGAAGCGGAACTCAGTTTCCTCTTCCTTTTCATCCTATCATGGATCATCCGAAACATGTTAAGCACCCTAACCATATTTTGTTTTTTACATTTATCTCGACAAACCTACTAAATATTTGTATTCCTATAATTTTGTTAGTCCACAATCAAATCCAGGCAAATGTGAGGGTAGAGACAGATACATATCAGAAAATATATGAATTAATTTCAGAGTGAGGCCCTAGTCGACTCTCTCATTTAAACCAGACATATTTTCATATGCGCATATACATATATAACTGTAAATACATATACATATCTGTAGACTGCAATATATAGATACAGAGCTCGCAAACACTTAATCCAGGGCATTATCATACACGATTTAAACAAAAAAAAAAAAAAAAGTGAGTGATCGTTCAACCTTGAATACGAACGATTCAGAATCGATTCCCCAAATGCTGACGGAATCACCATGATCGGACTTCTCCTTCGAATTCAGAGGTCTGAACAGCGCGCTGACTCGTATGTTCGGCATTTTTTCCCCTTCCTTTCGTAGATTGGAGATTTATGAAAAGACAATCGCCGGTTGAATCTCGATCAGCTTATCCTCAACTTCTGGTTCTGCGCCAATTACGAAAAAACTTCCGCCGTTAAAGCCGATTGCAAAATCTAGAGAGAGAGAGAGAGAGAGAGAGGCCTGCTGGAGAAATTGAAATGTGTAGAGGAGGCTTCAGTAGTTTTCCCGCCCAAAATAAGCAGAAAAAAGGCTCAGCTCTGAAAACGTGAATGGAAGAGAAATGCTGTGCTGGACTAAAAACATGGGTCAGTGTGCAATTGCTACTTGCGCCTGAAATGACCCCAATACCCCCGAAATGGGTGCGAATTACGTATTTGAGAATTAACAAATGGGGAAATTACCGATTTCACTCCTCAAGTTTGCACCGATTTCATATTTGGTCTCACATATTCTCAAAAACCACATCTGGTTCCTCATGTTCCAATAATTTAACACTTTTGGTCATTTCCGTCAATTTACCGTTAGTCCGTTAGTTAAGACAGTGATAGGCAGACGCTTGATTCCGTCAGTTTTAACAGGAGATTGACGGAAATGACTAAATATATTGAATTTTTGAAACATAAGGGATCAAATGTATTTTCTGTAAATATGGGGGAGCAAATGTGAAATAGATGCAAACTTGAGAGATAAAAACTGTATTTTTATCATTAACAAATTCTATTTTAACTACACGAGTCACGTACACTCCAACTCATCGAGTAGCCCTTATCTGTGTTTGGGCCCGACTCACGTCGTTCCAACCACCGGTGGGGTCACCAAGGAGCCATGTTCACGAACCAGCACATTCCTGGCTAATAGTCGACAGGCATTGGCCTGTCACTAGATCGTCCTGAAGACGGATGCAACGTTTTGTTAGAAGTGAAAAATCAATTTCAGTTTTATTCGAAATTATATTTTGATAAAATTCAAATCGGAGTGGCAATTTATTTCAAACTTTGAAAAAATCGGATCAAAGTTGTCGGAATTTAAATTTTTTCCCTGATTAAAGTATTTGCTATTTGAAAGGCCATTTATGTAGTTTTTGATAAATTTAAGATAATACTTATTATATAGGGGCCTTAAGATATAGGTCCCTAGTGACAAACCTTATTAGAATTAAATGACAACCTTAACTAAACATTTGATACACATCCTTCATAGAATTTATTCCAAAAATGCCATCGTGCATTAAATATATTTTTATTTTTCCAACCAATATTTTTAATTTTCTTTTATACAAAACACGTTTAATTTTCCTTTTCTTTCTATTTCTCCATTTTAGCAATTTTACACAATTAAAAAAATATTTTTTTTCTTCATAATATTGAAGATTACGAAAAAAAATATTTTTTTATTTTTTTAAATTCAATTTATATATTTTTAAATATTTTATTTGTTGTTAATACTATAGTAGACTATCGTATACTACGGTGTACTGTAGCATACTACGGGTTACAATAGCATACTTGTGCAATAGCATACTACAGTGTACTATAATTTACTACGGTCTTCTGTGGTGATATCGTCCTTCTAGATGTGACACCACTGTCTTTGGGATTAGAAAGACTTGGTGGAGTGATGACTAAGATTATTCCCAGAAATACCACACTGCCCACTTCAAAATCAGAAGCGTTCTCAACCGCTGCTGATGGTCAGACTAGCGTTGAGATCAATGTTATTCAAGGTGAAAGAGAGTTTGTTAGGGACAACAAATATGTGGGCAGCTTCCGACTCGACGGAATCCCTCCTGCTCCTCGTGGAGTTCCACAAATTGAGGTCAAATTCAATATTGACGCAAATGAAATCCTCTCAGTTGCTGCTATTGACAAGGGAACTGGGAAGAAGCAAGACATCACCATTAGCACATTACCAAGTGACGAGGTAATCCTGTCTAGTCCCAATCACTCGCTTAAATAACTGCATGCATGTTTGGGCTCCAATCCCTAGCTGTAAAACAACTCTCAGCTGTCGTCGAACCCTAGCCGTCAACAAATTCGCAGCCGCAACCGCCAACTTCAATCCACCAAACCCTAGCCCCCAACCAAAATCCTAGCACCATCAAAGAGGCCTAGATGCAACCACCTCCCATCATAGACTAACCTCACACCACCGTCTCTAATGGCCATCAACCACCATAATCATCCGCTCTAATATACGACAACCGTTGCCGCTCTCAACCGTCATGAGCCATGTATCACCGCTGCAATTTGCAGATCTGTAATTCTCTCCGACCGCCACCCATCATAGCCACCATAATCGAGTGAGCGAGAGAGAGATAGATAGAGCGAGATGGGGAGGGAGGGGAAAAGAAAGAGGCGAGAGGGAGAGGGAGAAGAAGAGGCGAGAGGGAGAGGGAGCGGCGAGAGGTGAGAGAGAAAAAAAAAAACCTGATTAGTTGAATAAACGTGGGATACTATATTTAGGGTATAAGGGCAAACTAGGGATAAAATAAAAATTAGGGATGTGGATCATATATTATTTCAAAATAGAGATTTAATTAAAAGATTGAATTTAAGGTTGTCATTTAGTTTAAATTATGTTTCATTTAAGGGAATCTTAGCATATTTCCCTATTATATAATTCCCATACAATTGTTGCCGCTTCCTTAGTTCTTTACTACAATGCAATCATTATCTTTAAGGAGAAAATTAGTTGAAAGCCCCTCAAGTATATTCTCTATAACTATAAGAACATGAGGACTTTGCCATTTTGTTAGAAATCCTTGTGCACTGGATCTGACGCTTGGTCTGGATTCTCTCTAACGAAATCGCTTAGGGAAACAAACAATAACGGCGACACGCTGATTTGTACAACTTAGTTATATTAATAATCAACAACTTACAGTTAAACCTCCTTTATTTAGCGAAATATTAACTTATCGATAAATTAATAATTATTAATTTATATATTAATTAATAATTCATTAATTTATGAAATTATTTTTATTATTATTTTCAATAAATACATTTTTTTTTTAAATTTAGGTATATAGTATTCAATGTACCATTAGTTTAATGTATTATAGAGCCCGTTTCTCCAACGATCGCTTAAAGCAAGAGTTATGAGAAAACTATACCAAAAGGTTTAACCATGTTAAGAAAAGTGACGGATGAGATTGATGGTGATGTGAACTTCAAGAAGAAACAAACGACAATTAAATTATGTTTTATCAAGTTTTCATAGATCTATAAAATATGTATTGTACTATGTAATATAAGATTTTTTCTTCATGCATTATTAATTTATATATTATATAGGGCTTCTTAAAATTCTCAAATGTGTATTATCTTATAAATTTAGCGAATTATTTATTTAGCACGTTGTCCTCGAGTCGGGACCGAAAAAAATATTATTTAAACGCATACACATCTTACACTTACAACTTATAAAACTTATTGATAGAGCTTAGTTACATTAATAAGCAAAAATTTAGAAAAGAACACGTGTATCATCTAATTTTACTATGAAGTTAGATAACTTAGAAGACTTACTTGCACAACTTAGTTACACAGTTAGTTAAAATAAAGCGAAGAAAAAAAAATTTAAATCTCTGATGCGTACATCACCACCAACATTACCATCTGCCATCACCAAACAATTGTTCATATTTTTCATTTTTGGTTTTCATAATTATTAGGTTACAACGAAGAAAAATAGGAGTAACCAAAATCGTATATGTGTGCTTGTTTGTGGTTGCACATATGTGTATGTAGGTGTGTGATTATGTGTGTGCCGGTGTCTAGAGCTTCGACGATGGCAGCGAGGAGAGTATTAATGGAGCTGATTTGATGGAGTGCAGTGGGGTTGGATGGATCTGACGAAGTGAAGCGAAGTTAAATGGATTTAACGGGATGAAGACAAGACGAAGAACAAAGAACTTTTAGCAAATTGCTAAAATCCATCTTTCCTGATTTGAAACAAAATTAGTGTCTAGAGCTGTTTGGCAAATCAGCCAATCATTAATTGCTTATAATAGTTGCTAATACTACTATTTATTTGAAAACATTATATAAGAAAATATATTATAATTTATACCTTATAAATAAATAAAAATACGTAATCTATAAATATACCCTATATTTTAACCTATAACTTTCCCATATTTCTGATAAATTAACGCCTTGAAATTATATTTTCTACGAACTACATATTCCATATTTTCTATATCTTGGAAGGGGTCATTAGCAATAAACCCCTCATATAGTTAATAAATGGTGATATGTCCACCCCTTAAATCTTTCTTTGTGATAAACCCCTAGAAATTGTATTCCCAATTCTACCCTTATATCAATTAGCATAATTTCACCCAATTATTCCTTTTTTTCTCTCTTTCCATAATCATAATTTAATTCCTAAAAATATATTTCCAAATTCCTAAAAATTTCTACCAAATTAAAAAAATTATTTTTTTTATTTTTTATTATTTATTATTTTCGGATTTTATTTAGTCATTTTTTATTTTTATTTTTATTTTTTTAATTTTTTTTAATATTTTTTTAATAAAAATATTTTTTTTTATTTTTTTTAAACAAAAAATTGATTTTTTTTGGACAGTTTACAATGCCGAATATGACTATAGTTGAATATGACTATATGTGACTATGTCAATTGTAGTCGTATTACTTCTTTATATTGCACTTTTTTTACATTTTTAGCTTCAAAAATCCGATTATATAGTGTTGTACAGTCATGTTTACCAAATTATATAAAACAACTAAGATTCCCTATTGTTTAGGGAAACAATACAATCAACATCCACACAAAAAATCGCAAAAGAATCACAATTTGAATCTTGTTTTTTCAAGTCAACTTGAAACGAGAAGATAGAACATATTCGAATATGACTACAATCATATTCAACAATAGTCGTATTCAAAATGACTACAGTCATATTCGAAAAAAATACATAAATATGACTATAGTCATATTTGAATATGACTATAGTCATGTTGCTGCTACTGTACAAATTTGAAATTATATTTTCAGATCTGGAGGAAAAAAAAAAAAGAGAGAGAAATCGAAAGTACATATAAAAGGGGAGAAAATTAACGAACAAGATGGAGGGGGAGTACGCTTCAATTCATCTAACTAAATACATAAATATGACTATAGTCATATTTGAATATGACTATAGTCATGTTGCTGCAATTGTACAAATCTGAAAATATATTTTCAATTCTGGAGAAAAAAAAAGAGAGAGAGAGAAATCGAAAGTACATAAATAAAGGGAGAAAATTAACGAACAATATGGAGGGGGAGTACGCTTCAATTCATCTAACTAAATACATAAATATGACTATAGTCATATTTGAATATGACTATAGTCATGTTGCTGTTACTGTACATATCTGATCGAAAGTACATAAATAAAGGGAGAAAATTAACGAACAAGATGGAGGGGGAGTACGCTTCATTTCATCTAACTAAATACATAAATATGACTATAGTCATATTTGAATATGACTATATGTTGCTGCTACCACAGTGAAGGGAATGGGAAACAACACACCTTTGCAACCTTTTCCGTAGCATATACCGCAAGTAAGAGTCTGTTCCAATAGAGCTGATTCCCATGTACTTGCACATATTCACTAGACGAGGCCTAAATTGCAAAAAACACAACCATATCATGTAATGATTGTTGTATATTTTAATATTAAACAATGAGATACAATTATGAATACGAAAAAATGAACCTGCTGATATTATCTAGTGTGAGTTCATCATTGAACAGCTTAGCAAATCCCAAAATTTCCTCATTATCACCATCGCAAGCAAGGAAACATTGATTTATCATAAAAGTGGAAACCAGGTATTGAACCGGCACATCATCTTCTATAAACAAAAAATCTAACAGAAGTACGAAATATAGGCAGGTGCAACTGATGCATACTTTAGTAAATTTTATGATACCAAATCTATCAAAAATTAAACAGTTGCACAATCATCATAAGCTATGTTCCTCGGACAACAATGATTAGCTTTACTATGTAGAAATGACCCATATGCACAATTCCCAAAAAGAATATTGCTGCTACTGATACATAAATATGTTCCAGATCTGTAGAAAAAAACAAAAAAAAAACAGAGAGAGAGAGATAGAGAGAGAGAGGGGGAAAGAGAGAGAAATCGAAAAATAAATAAATAAATGTAGAAAATTAATGAAAGAGAGGGAGGGGGAGTCGACGACAACGGCGATGGCGGTGGTGGCGGCGCGACGTGAGAGAGGCGGCGGTGGCGGCGGCGTCGACGATGAGCGGCGGTGGCGGTGGCGCCGACGATGAGCGGCGGTGGCGGCGGACGATGAGCGGCGGTGGCGGCGCGGCGGCGGTGGATGAAGCTTGAAATTTTAGGAGTGTTTTGAGAGTTTAGGTGGAGAGGTGGAGAAGAAGATGAAAGTGGTAGGTGAGCAAATAATTAGGAATTAGGGTTATAGTAGTTGAGGGTAGGTTTGTCTTCTCACACTAGTCTAGGGGGGTCTCACTAATTAAGAATGAAATTTGGGTGTTGAGAAAAGTCTTTCCAAGTCAATTGGGTTTAGTTCAAAATATTTTCTATTTGAGGGGTGTATTGCATATTTCCCCATCTTGGAAAATTGGATATTTATTATCGTTGAACATTTCTTTGTTTTCTCAAGAATGTCTTTTGATATTACGTAAATTCTTTATATAAAGATTACTCAAAAAAATAAAGAATATTCTTTATATAAAGAGACTCCTTGTAATTAGATTAATCATCAGGAAATAATAAGAAAAGTATCTATCCAAACTAGAGGTAGCTGTGTTCATATTCTTATTCACTTTAAATTTTCAGCAAATACAAAATATAAATTTTTGTGATTTCAATTCCAACAAAGTGGCACCAGAGCCCAGTTGTTCATACAACGGGGATGTCAAAATAATTCAGCAAAACAAATAAAATCCAGCCATGGCGAGTTCGAGCAACCAAGTACCGAAAATTTACAACCTTCATTTCCTCTCTTTAATGGAGAAAGTTATGATTTCTGGTATGTGAAGATGAAAACAATATTCATCTCACATGATTTATGGGAGTACGTAAACCAAGGATTTGATGATCTGAAAGACATGCCTTACAAACGAGGAAAAGAAACAATTGAAGGAGCATCAAAGGAAGGACGTGAATGCTCTAAATCTCATCCAATATGGAGTAGCCGAAAAAATATTTTCCAGAATTATCAACGCTTCATAGGCAAATGAGGCCTGTGGTATTCTTCAAAAGGAGTATCGGGACAACCATAAGGTAAGAGCTGTGAGGCTCCAATCCTTGCGAAGAGATTTTGAAAATCTTAGAATGAAGAATGATGGGAGTTTGAACAACTACTCATCGAGAGTTGTGGATATTGTAAATCAAATGAAGACACTTGGCGAACAGGTTGACGATCGAAGAATTGTATAAAAAGTTCTAATAAGCTTGCCTGAAAAATACGATCCCATTGTCGCGATGGCATAATAGACCAAAGATATTTCAAATCTAAATTTGAAAGAACTTATGGGTTCGATAAAGACGTTCGAACAAATATTGAATAGGCGTTCGGAAAAATCCATTGAAAGTGCCTTTCAATCTAAGTTCACTATCCAAACGCGAGATAACCTTGTTGGTGATCGAAATAACGACGATTCAAACCGAGGTGGCAGATTCAAAAGAGGTCCAACTTCGAGAGGTAGAGGAAGATGAAGCAAACTTGCTTGGGTTTTGTGATAGTGATTGGGCTGGATGTATTGATGATATGAGAAGCACATCGGGCTATGGTTTTTCTCGTGGTTGGGGAATATTCGCTTTGGCATCAAAGATGAACAAACTGTGGCACAATCATCTGCCGAAGCCGAGTACATTTCGGCATATTTGGAAACATGTCAAGCAATATGGCTAAGGAGGATTTTGGAAGGCATTTGTTTAAAGCAAAAAGGAGCTACAACTCTCTTATTTGACAACAAGTCAGCTATTGCAATGGCAAAGAACCCCATTTATCATAGTCGAATTAAGCACATTACAATCAAGCATCACTTCATAAGAGAAGCCGTGGACGAAAGAGAAATTCAACTCAAGTATTGCAAGACTGAAGAACAAGTTGCTGATATACTCACCAAAGCTCTTCCAAGAGACATGTTCGAGTTTTTCCGTGAGCTGATCGGAATTACTCAAGCCATTAAGAATGTCTTTTGATATTACGTAAGTTCTCTACATAAAGAGACTACTTGTAATCAGATTAATCATCAATAAATAATAAGAGAAGTACATCTACCCATACTAGAGGTAGCCTTTGTTCATATTCTTATTTACTTTAAATTTTCAGCAAATACAAAGTATAAACTTTAGTGATTTCAGTTCCAACAATTTCAATACCCTATTTCTCAGGATATTTCATTTTCCCGCGTCCGTTCGTATTTCTAGGTTTCATCGTTTCTGCGTCCTTGTGTCTGTGCAACAAAAGATACAAGTGAAGAATGTCTAAAGTTTGTGCAAGGAGATAAATATTTTCACACACACACGCACACCATATCATAGGAATGACAAATACCGAAGCTAGGATTTATTTATGCGGTTGAAGTTTTAGCAGCTTCACCATTTCAAATTTTCCAACACCGACATACAAAACTAAAAAGACACACACACATACAATTATACAACTGGGAATAAACACAAGTAGGAACTAACTCAACATTCACAACCATAGTTTCTACTTCATTTTAGAGGTTTCGGCCGCAGACACGGGTGACTGAGGTGCTTCAGCAGGTCTTCCGGAAAGTTCGATAGGCCTGTGGAAGAGCAAATGCGCCACCGTCCGATCTATTGGGTTCGTATCTGTCTCTACATCAGCCATTCTATTAAACCTGCATCGTAAGCAGACAAAGAAAATAAGAAAACAGGCAACGATGTGTATTTATTCTTCAATCCTACAGTCAAAGATCTGCACGTGAATCGTAAACTTAACAACCATATATAGTATGCAGTTATATATTATTAGGACACTTTGGGACAAGTCTTGTCATAGGTTACTAACCTCTCACGGCCAACTTCATCCCTGCCGCTTATTCGGGCACTGCTTGCATTATTAGGATATTGCCTCTGCATAGCACTTTGAGCTAGTCGGAACAAACTATCGCGGATGCAAAGTCTTATTCGAATGTCCAACTGAAAAAAATGGTCAATGTTATTGTTTATTGTCCTTGCTTTTCGGAAAAAAATAACAAAAAAAAAAATTATATATTCAATAGGATATAGTACTGACTTTGGAAATGGTATCTTGAAGCCGATGAATTACTGATTCCTCCACAGAGCAATTATCAAAGGCCATGCCGTTTGCATTGGAATCATACTGCTCTACAGGCGTGTTTGGTTCAACGGAAGGAAAACTATTACGATTTTCATCAATTTCCATTTCCACCGCTTCCATTCCGGAACATTCTGGAACGGACACATGATTACCAAACTGCTGCTGTTGTTTCTGAATTGCAAGTATCGCTCTCATTTGCTGCCTCCTCCTCAGCTTTTCGATTTTTTCTCTTGGCGTCATTGTTGGAGCATTTGCCGGATGTTTCAAAGAAATTGCATTGGCAGAGGAAACTTTGTAGCCGGAATAGTGATTCACCATATTCCCGTACATAGGAGAAGCCAAAGGTACACCAGAAAGACGGTGGTTTTGTTGAAAAGGCTCGGGCCTCCGATATGGCATTTGCTGAGTCAGCACCAAAGGTGGACACGGGTTGATAATTTTTGGTGTACAGTGGCTGTTAACTTGTTGCGAGGGGCTCTTTTTGCCTAACATCTGACCCTTCAGTAATCTCTTTTGCCTCTGGTCTTTAAACTGGAAAACGGAAGGCAAGAAGAACAAAACAAAATTAATCAATGACAAGAACGTGTGTGCTTATTGAGACACGTAAGGGAATAAACAACTGTTTTCTGAACATTTGATACAGGAAAATAATCAACCCAGTAAAACCTTATCCGCCAGTTTTCTGTTCGACTTATTAGAGAGGAAAATGCTCCGAAATGAAAGAATGATTATATGGCATAATATCGAGCGACTACCATCTTTTTCTTCCTCCCCATAGAAATTTCTAGAGAACATTATAATTTACCAGTTGATTTCGAGTTCGCAAACACCAGAGATATTTTTAAGCACCAAACTACCAGCATGGGATAAATATTGTAAAGTAACTGAAAAAATCACGGCCATAACCTTTAACACTTTTTCCGCAAATAAAATTGCTGGCTTTCAATGGGGGAAACAAACATTCGTTTTGAGGATAATAGTTCAACTGAAGTATTTTTCTGTGTCTATTGAAATCGGCAACAATTGAAAATACCAAACATTTAACAACTTGTTTTGAAGATATACACACATGCTTTCCTTTGCAAATGATAAAATGCGAGTCCTTTCATCCTTCAGCATCATCGTTTAATCTTTCCAAGGATTTAAATTACGTAAAGTGAAAATATCTAGAGACCATCAATTCAATTTTCAAAGTCTTTAGTGTCGCCTAAATTTAGATACCAGCAATTTGACACTGAAAGAAACAATTTACCCTTATGAAAACTTTTTGACAACGTTTTTCAAGGACGAGAAAACCAGAAAGTCCATCAACGAATTTTGTAATACACAACTTTAAGCAAGCACTAAATGTTTCATGTGATTAAATATCATCAAGTCAATGGTTTCATAGTTCTATCAAGCAACTTTAAGACTACCTGACTATGGAATTAGTCAAGGTTTTAACAGGGATAGATTTCTCTAATTTTGTCGTCTTTTCTTTTTTTTTACTACAGAGTTGGGGCAAGGATAAGAAGAGCAGCTTCTCCAAACAGATAACAAAATCTTAGTGAAATATTAGATTTCCATTTTTACTCAAAATGGGCTGGAGAAATTGTCTAGTAATACTTAAAGGGAGGCAATAAGTTCCATCACTGAGTTGTTTAAAGTGAATCCATAATTATCTTATGAGCTAACCTACTAATCAAAAGAAATAGAAAAGAGCAACTAAGCAATATAATTAAATTTAGTCCTTTGTACCTTTTCTTTCACTAATAGGTTACTTTTACCTCCAGAATATTCATTAGTATCTAAGCTTGCCTGTACATCCTCTGGAGCTTGAGATGCAATCACGTTCAGCTTTTCATAGCCAGAAATAAATGATTGGCTGGGATCCAGCATGTGTTGATCCTTAATCTCAGATTCATCAATTGAGGTTCTTAATGCTCCCAGTTGCAAATCGAAAGAATCGCCACACAAAGGATCAGGTCCAAGAGGGCTGCTAGTTACATCTTTCGAAGATGGCCATAGCTCGTCAACATTTCCAGCACTGGAATCTCCAAATATCGGGTCGTTGTTGCTGCAAAATATCACTTGTGAGGATACTAAGTCAGATGGACATTAGTCATGAAATACAGTAACATTAATAGAAATTAGGACATCATAAGCGGTAGAATTATCTTTACATAATAGGAACAAAGGGGCATTCCTTTAGAAAATAAATGGTTATTTATTCATTTTGCAAAGTCAGGAAAGCTCCTACTTGGTTACTTTTTCCATTGGGATTCTTCTGATGGTCTTGAGTCGCTTCAGAATAAAATAAACCTTAATAGTTAATATTCTCAACCCATTTCCTCGTGTACAGAAAATTAAATACACCTCTGTATTGTAGAACTAAGCACCATCATATAAAACTGAAATAAAAGAACTTGGAGAAAACATACAATCATGCCAATGAAAATTGGATCTTTACAAAAGAACACATAACTAAGTAAAGGATTTCGATTTACCTAAAAATCCTGTCCAAATCGTCAAAGCTTCCAATATTTGCCCAGCTATAATCAACAAAATCACTATGTTCTCCATCTTCTGGGGTGTTTTCAAATATATCAGATTCCTTAGCGAATTGAGATGTCTCATCTGTCGAGAAAACATAGCAGATCAATATACGGCATCCATTCATCAGCAGAAGAAAAAACGGTTAAGACAAAAAAGAAAGCAATGCTTCACCTCTTAAAGAGACATTTTTTGAACTATTTGCTATGTTGCTTGACGCAGCAACATCTATAGACTCCGGATCAGCTTTTGCAGCATTTGATGAAGATGTCTCAGAATGGGGACCAACTCCTGTTACAGGCTCACAAGTGTCATACTTGGGACTGCTATCTAGTTCAACTGCATATTCAGATTTAACGGTAGGTTTCTTCTGTTCAACAGAGCTAATGTTTGTAGTTTGCTGATTTATTTCTTTCTTAGAGGGATCGCCAAATAAAACTGCAGGCTTCTCCTCAATTTGACCAGGATATGGAACAATGTGATCATCACTTTCTCGAGCCTCACCCCATACGATGTTGGTTAGCTGAAATATAAAATATAAAGGGCTGTAAGAACTTGAGTTCAAGAGCAATGAAGCAAAAGGGGCAGAGACTGCAACAAGACAACTGTATCAGGATTCCGGTAATAAGAATGGAAATTATTATCAGAACCAATGAAACTTACGCCACACGAAATCTCTTTAAGAATAGCCTATTATAAGAAGTGACCAACAAACATGTAGATAAATTTCAGACAGTTAAGAAGTACTGCAGCGTCTTTAAACTTGTAACTACACCAGTTGCAACAAAAAGAAAAGTTCAGAAAAGAGAATTTTCACGACTCATCCGAAAAGTCAATTATGCTGGTAGTAAATTTGTTGATCTTTATAAGACAGTACAACAATGTCATCATATAAGGACATATGTTATGTAAAATTATAAATAGTTCGAAAGTTGCTTGACCACTAATCGGTTCCGGATCATGCTCGTGGCCATGTCTACCCTCGGTCACCTTCTTTGCGCAACCCCTATCTTTATCAAATGAACAGCGATCTTGCTTTGTACACTTCTTTTCTATTTGGGTTCACCTCCTTTATATTCCTTTTCTCTGTCTTGCCTATTACAAAAAGTAAAATACTGTCTTCTCTGTCTCCTTTTTCGTCTGTCAACTACTTGCCTCCTATTTGTTTGCCATTCGCTTATCTAGTTTCTTGTTTTTTGTCTGTCGTGGCATCTTATATCGATCCCTACACTTTGGCTATTGCTTCTATTGTAGTCCATCTGTCAGTCGATCCTGATTGGACACTATTGTCTGTCTACTAATACCGTGCACCATCCACATCGATATTTGATGTGCTTATACTATTATTTTTTTTAGAACAATCCGGTTGTTACTTCTGCTACGTCTATGATTTACACGCTCTACTTCTACGGTCTCATGTACCTAGACAATCGATGTTTGTCATGAAGAAACGAGAAGATATCTATCTTCCAGCTTGAAGGAAGAATTAAATAGTATTTACTATATCTATATCTCTTTCAATTTAACAGATTTATGTATCCGTGACTCAAAATTCTCCCGGCTCATTCGAACAAAAATGAGCTTATATTATCAAAAACTTCGATAACTTATAAATCACTTAAATAAGCTCATTTCCCACATTCTTAACAGCTAATTGCTTAAACAGGTTTTTTTTTTTTTTTTTTTTTTTTTTTTTTCTTTTTTTTTTTTCTTGTGAATATTAAAAGAGAGGAGAAAAGCTACAAACCTCTTCGTCGTTCCAATCAAACATAGCTAGGAAACCAGTGAAAAATGGAGAGTTCAAATCCAAGCAAACGCAAATTCAACCGGTACTGCTTCAATTCTAGCCCAAACATCGCCGAACTACTTACTGCTCAAGCTTTTCTCCAATTAAAAAAAATAAAACACGCCGCGAAACTAGAACCATCAATCATGAAAGCAGAGAAAAAGCCAAGGATAATTGTACAGTTCCAAACGGATAACCTAAAAAAAAAGTAAGATTTTGTTGGCGTCTGTGAAATTGAAACAAGTGAGATTTGGAGAGATGGTAGAGAGAGAAAGAGGAGAGAGAGAGTGGTGTGGGAGTGAGTGAGTGGGGGGGATTGAGCAAGTGGTGGTGGTGGTGGGGCCCACATACATGTGAAGTTTGAGGGCTGAAATTGAGGGTTTCACTCGTGTGGCGGCAGCGTATCTGAGAGTTGGTGGTTGGGAGTGTTCCGATCTGTTTCTGCCCCGTCATTGGTTCACCTTAGATTTCAATGCTGGAAAGTACGTTATGCCCCCGCGTGTTTCTTCAAATTCACCTTTGACCCCTGAAAATATATACTTTATTATCTGAGTAATTCAAGTCCATTACAAGGGGAAGTAGGGGAATGGGGGACTCGAACCCTAAACCGATTACCCTATTGGTAAGGCTAAGTACCCTATTGGTTATTAGTACTTTATTAAATCTAAATAATTAGGCCCCTTTGGGGATGTTTTATAAATTTCATTCCAAAAATGCTCTTTCACACAAAAATATAAAATTTGCCCCAAGTAATTCAAACTGCATTTATCATTTTTTATTTTGCATTAAACATTTTCATTTTTGCATTTAACATTTTTTTTTTGAAGAACAAGGTTTTTTTTTTTTTTTTTTTTTTTTCTTTTTTTTTGCATTTTCGTATTATTTTTCCTTATTTTCAACATAATATTGAAAATTATAATTTTTCTTTTTATTATTATTTTTTTCGGCCGTAGTCATCTATAGAAACCTGTAGGAAACCGTAGTAGCCTGTAATCATGTATAGACACTCGTAGAAAACAGTAATAATTCGTAGTCACATATTCGAAAGGATTACTCGATGATTTCATGATTTTAATGGTTTCAACTTTCAAGGGTTGATATGGACTACAACTAGCCATATGGACCTTGTCTATATATATACAATAAACATGCTATAAGGTTCAAGCAGGGCGCCCCAAAGTTAAAAGTTCAACTCCGTTAAAGACGCGTAAAACCTTAAAAAGGGTGGAAGGATTTTTTGCCTTTACATTGTATAGCGACGCGAGGTAAGGCCTGCATCGAGACTTCGAGTCGGGTTTTTGGGCAAGCTGAGGCTCATAAAATCTAAAAGTCAGATAAACATGGCAGGCTAAAATAAAAGGGTAATTACGTTAAAAAACCTTAATGAAGCTTGCAACTCAAGGCATAAAATATCTATAAATAGGAGGTTCACTCGAACTTTAACTCTGTAATGTTTTTTACTAAAATACATAATACATTTAGAAAATCTCTCTTCTGTCTTGATCGTTGGAGTTTTAACGTCGGGAAACCCCTCATTGTCCTTTGACCAATTCGCAAAATCTTTATGAATCAATTTGTAAGCTCGAAGAAATGCAAGATGACCTCATTGTCTCTATTCAGTATTAGCAGAGGGTAAAAAGAGAACTTGCGAAGCTACATCAAACGGTTCACCAAAGTTTCCCTAACAAGTGACGAAGTTTTAATGTTGGCCTTGTTGCAAGAACTGCGAGATGGGGAATTTTTTTGCGCACTAGCCTTGGAGCCTTCAGCTGACTTCATACAGCTGAGCAGGTCTTCCAGGTTCATCAATTGGGAAGAAGCGCATTAACGGAAGATTGGAGGTGTTCGGTATGGTGACCACACATCGGCCGAATGAACATCACAAGGGAAAAGAAGTCGATGTACAACCTCCTCACGTCGGAGAAACGGTCTGATGACCCTGGTACAACTCTTACCAGCCCTTAACAACCCCATTATCAAACATCTTGTATACAATCGAGAAGAGGCCGACCAGATTTGCGTTGGCCCCATTCCGCTCGTGAGAATCCCTCATGAAGTCCCACTTAGGGGAAGTTCTGACTTTTTCATAACGAATACGAGCACGAGACTGATGAGTGCTCTCATCTCAAGGATGAAGTAGAAAGTCTCATACGAGATAACAAAATAGCCGATTTTGTCAAGCTGGACTAGGGGTGTGAACGAACCAAGCTCAGTTGTTTTGGCCGGCTCGAGCTCAAGTCCATGTTGCCGAGCTCGAGCTCGAGCTCATCGAGTTAATTTTTTTTGGCTCGAGCTCGAGCTCGGGCTCATTTAGTGGTTTTTTTATTATTATTTATTTTTTTATAAAATCATTTATTTTTTTATTAAAAATTATTTATAGAAAAATAAAAAATAATAATAAAAAACATAATGATCTCTAGTTATTATTATTATTTCTTATATTATTATTATTATAATATTTTATATTACTATGAATTATCTAAGTAATAAAGATTTGTTTCTATTTAAATACTAGAAATATTTATTATTATATACTATTTACTATTTAGTTAATAATAAAAATAATAATAATAATAAGAATAAAAATTATATATATATATATATATATATATATATATATATATATATATATATATATATATATATATATATATATATATATATATATATATATATATATATATATATATATATATATATA